ATGGCTTCAAGAATCCGAATTCGGAGTTTTATGTTCGTGGACATGAGTACTTCAATCCACAAAGTTTGTACTGGTAAGTGAGTGGCACAATCGCAGTATCTATAATTTGCTATGCAGAAAAGTTTAACAGCAAAACAAAATCACGGTCGTGGGTTCGAATCCCGATACTCAATTATTGACGTGAACTATATTTTAGCACTACCTTTGGAATGGTTAAAGAAATATTGGTAAACAAATAAATCAACAAAAATCTCCTAAGATTTTGTAAAATAATGAAAAACAATGCTTTTATTTGATTTGTAAACACCGTATTTATTTTGCAAAAAGGTAAACGTAACTTTGTAAATTCAATTCTCAGAAGTACAATTTCGTAAAATTTAAAATGTCGAACGCTTCGTAAAGTACCAACTACATTTTATAATAAAGATTTTCCATAGTATTGTTACCCTTATTTAGTGTGTGAGTTAACTCGACGTATCTGCCAGATAAGGGTTTATTCTCAATAGTCTTAAGCCCTAAACGTAACCAGCGACCTATACAACCAATTTTTCTGACCCAAGTTTATTTACACTATTTTTTTTAATTTGCAGGACGTTAGTTCGTGCATTGGCATTTCTTGCACCGGATCTGTTCAATAAACTGAAAATCAAACGGATCCATCCGGACATAGTCGACTTCTTCTATAATCTAGTCACACAAACGGTTAAGTACCGAGAACAAAATGATTTTAAGAGGAACGATTTCTTACAAACACTGATAGAATTGAAAAATGATGACTCTATCGATAATAAAGGTATGTAGAAGTCATTCAAATTTACTTCTTACTAATGTTATAAATGCGAAAAATTTTGTTTTGCTTGTTAGTTCGTAGCCTAAATTCTCTAAGATCTCGATGAAATATGGCATAGATGTAGAGCGTAGTATGGAAGAACACAATACTTAGGCTACTTACTTTTGTCGTTTTTATTCCACGCTGACGTAGTCGCGGGCGTAAGTTAGTTAATCAATAATTTTCTCAATTATTAAGACCTAAATCATAAGACGTTAGCATAAGCACAGTGAATTGCGAGGTAGAATTTAAATTTGAACATATCTTAGGTTTGTAAGTAATCTAAGGTTTGTTAGAGGTCGAGAATAATGAGTAATTTGATATGTAATTCCAGGTGAGAATAAAGTTCAGCGAGGTATATTCTCAATGAATGATATAGCAGCCAACACGATGTTGTACATGTTTGCGGGATATGAGACGTCAGCGACAGCGGGCCAGCTGGCAGCCTACGAATTAGCTCTTAACCCCCACGTACAGGATAAAGCCAGGGAGGAGGTGACACGAGTATTAGCCAAATACAACGGACAGTGCACATACGAAGCACAGAATGAAATGACTTATATGAACATGGTGATAGATGGTATGCCTCACTATTTCACCTTTTTTATTCCCGGAAAAAAAAGGAAAACTTCTTAATTCCATATAATAATTATTAAAATGTTACTTGATTCATACTTGTATAGAAACGGTTCGACGTTATCAAGAATATCACTAAGAGAGTTTTTATGTTTATTTGCAGAATCAATGAGGAAATATCCACCAATGAGGTCGCTGTTTCGAAGATGCACAAAAGAGTATAGACTGCCCAACAGTGATGTTGTCATTGAAGAAGGAACATTGGTTTTCATTCCTATCCAGGCAATACAAATGGATCCCGATATATTCCCGGAACCGGACAAATTTGATCCAGAGAGATTTTCCCCGG